AAAATAAAAAAAAAAAATTCTGGACAAAAATCAAAAGCCCGTATTTTAGAATACTTTTTTAAATTTTTTTTTAAAAAAAAAAAAACATATTCTCATAATACGTTTTAAAATTATATTTGAAGAACATTTGACATAGATGTCAGAATGCAACACTTCGCCATCTCATCAGCCTTCTTCCACCGAGCATACTCCCTTTTCTCTTGTTCAGGAGCATCGGTCGCGAGCTCTGCCGGGCACGCCTGAGTGATAGCAAATTTATATCCCTCAAAAATCAACACAATGTCTAAGTTCCTCTTCCAATCAATGTAATTAGGACCAGTACGCTGATTTTCTTTTAGAATGACAACTAACAGATTGAACGACATGTTGAATAGCTTGAGAATCATGAAAATAATTTTCCAGATTGAACACTTCGAATTTAACTGTTAATATTGATATCCTCAAAATAATATTAACTTAAATTCACCGACATCTCAAAACACCGTGAGTAGTGCATGGTACGAGCGTAACCCTATATTACTCAACATTCGCTAGAGAATGACTTTTCAAGAACCCATTAATTTCCATTGACCTTTCAAGAACCCATTAATTTCCATAAGTCAAAATCGAATTCATGACGAACGAAATTAATAGTCAGTTTCCGTTTAGCCATGCAATAAAATTCAGGGGCCCCGAGGGGGGTTAATAAATTTAATCACATTATAAGTGAATTCTATTTTTCGATCCTAAAGTCATCAAATTTGATTATTCATCATTCGAGGGGATGTCGTACGCTCTCATAAGATTTTCTCTAATAGTCTAATTAGAAATTGGTCCTGATAATTTCCTCCAATTAATTTTAGTGATATCACCCGAGTGGAACCCCATACTTCAATTAATTGATTTACCAACAAATTAGAAATGGAAGCCTTAAGAATTTTGAAGTTAACTTTAATTTAAAATCTTTTCTCAAACTTAGTAAAAATTTAAATAAGGATTTTTTAATATTTAAATATTTATGCAATTCTAAATTAATCCCATTCAAAAATAATTAATAATCAACATGCATAAATAAATATGCAATTCTAAATTAATCTCATGCAAAAGTAATAATTAATTAACATGCATAAATAAATAAATTATTAATGGGCATAATAAATTTAAATAAATAAATCCACTATTATGACAATTAAATATCAAGTCTCCTTAAACAAGGAAACATATCTAATTCTTTCTTTGTCCAATTGTAACTCCCAATGCAGTAGAATCCTGATAGATATTGTACTGTTTGTCCAACAAGTAAAAACCATTGCCACCAGCCGTCGCCGCCAGTTCGCCGGAAAAATCTCGCCGGATTTTTTTTTCTCTCCGCGCACGCGTTTCGCGCACTGCTACCGCCGGTCACCTCGCGCCACCGCCGCCGACGACCCCTCGATCCCGGGTCCGGTTGCGTTTTTCGAGGTTCGTTGATCTCTTGTTATCTCCCGGTCATCAACACACGATCACAACATGAAAAATATAATTTATACAATTACGTAATCTGATCCTACATCCAAAGAATGGATGTACATGTTTTCTAAATAAATAATTAAATCTATCCGGTCAATCCCGGGCAAATAATTATTACAAACATTCATTCACTAAATTCCTCGACATGTCCGAGGCTTTAAAAAAAATTTTAAAAACCATACATCACATTCAACAACATTCATCAAACACATAATCAACCATAGTGGATTAAACTAATTCCTACAAAACCGAGTTCCGCGAATATAATCCAATATATATGGATGTGTCTGAACACATTTTGTCAAATAAAGCCGTAAAAATTCAACTTTGTACAAAACGAATTAACTAAGTGCTCTGATACCACTTGTTGGGATCTATGAGGATCTCGTTATGTACAAGGTAAAAATTCAATAGAAAACATAAACCTATGCGCAGCGGATCTAAAGGTCTGACGTAGGAAACTTACGGCTAAAAATTTTCAGAATATGGTGGATTCGGGTTTACCGGGAACAACACACGAAGAAGCCGGACCGAACGGGTGGGATCGGGTCGGTTGTGTGGCGAGTGGATCAGAACGCCGGGCGGATCGCGACGTCGGGACGGGTCGCGCGTCGTGTTGGTTGGCGGCTCCGACGGAATCACAGCGGCGGTCGGCGGGTCACGGCGGCGTTCGTCTGCTCCAGTTGATCACGATATCTTAGTTACCTCGGGTTCTTCCATTGTATTACTCAAAAACCTTATCAACTTGTATCGGTGGAACAACAAGAAGAAGATAAAGCTCGAACAGAAAACTGAGAGAGAGAGAGAGAGAGAGAGACGAGTTCGGTCTGTTGTATATACACACATAAGAGAATTCTGATCTCTTCTTCTCTTTTCCATGAGCCTAATGATGCATATATAGAGCTACAGTAGCGACCCTTAAGAGATTAGGAATAGAGCTTCTTAATTAATGGACTAACTGTGGGTCTGGCCCACTCCTCCAATTACTTAAATAATATGGGCCACTAACATAATATTATTGCACTCCTTTTTCCTAGCCCAAATTACAATTGAGATTCCAATAATAATTACCCGAATTACCTCCTCATGTTTAAGATATAATATCCATTAATTAATTCGATTACTGAAAATCAAGAATTACTTAATATATTATTATTTCACCGAAACTAGCGATCATTCATCACATTATTACTATGCCGGAATTAATACATCTGTTGGGTTTAGCATAATAATTCTTCATTAACTCACTTCGGTGACATCATCAAACTAAACGTAAATAGTGACCGTAAATATCTTAACAACACATCATACATACAGTAATATTACCCAAAACAATAGTAATATTAATTCAGCGAACTGAACCTCACCCAAGTGAATCAAAGTAATATATATTGCATACATATGTCTGTTTAATATCTTACGGGTTAAGAGAACACAGTAATTAACCGAGGCCTAGTTTGTTTACGACGATCAGTATGAAACAAACTTCTCCTCTCTGAGATCGTGTTCAATACATAAATGTAATAGTGCAACTAATCAGTCAAGACCAACTGTATCGTTGACACTACAACCGTTCGGATGGGGTGTTCATTTGCATCTAGGTTGTGAACCACTAATTCTTGTTTCGCAAGTAATTGATAGAATGATCTTCGGTTCGCCCGATGACGACTCCATTACATCTAAGTGCAAAACAACAAAACATTGAACTTGTTTAATCAAACATGATTCTCATTCATAAAGGGTAAAAGTGTAATATCATCCAAAGCCAAGCTTTTAGTATATAAGACTAACAACGCAAACCTCTCCCAGACCGCACAACCCGTGCAGACACACGTGCCAGCATCCAGGCGCACGCAGACCCGTCCGCGTCATTTCTAGTGCGTTGGCGTCCACAACATGGCGACCCGCAGAGACCCGCGACGTTTCAGTGAGATATGCACAATGTCGAGCGTCTGCAGAAGACCTAGGTCGACTCGGCAACATCCGCAGGGTACTTCAGCATGGCAGACCCGTAGAGACCTGACCAAACCCGTGCACTAGTGAGCACAGTCAAGCAACCCCGTGCACTAATGCACCCCAACTGCAGGCGACCTGCATGCGATCCAGGTGACCTGTAGCAACCCGGTAGCGCCCCGATAACAACCCAACTATGGTTCAGCAGCCCAGTGTGACGTGGTGAAATCGACAATGGTTCGACATGGCCCTAGACGATTCGAGACGCGAGAGACGGTTGAGGACCGATGATGGCAAGGCTTAGTCAGGAAACCCAATGGACACTGAGGTTCAGACGACCTCCAGTAGTAGAAATTAGAAACGTCTCCAAGTCGACAAAAAATTTAAAACGGTACGCGTTGAACCTTAGCTTCTAGTTCAGTTGCGTTTAAGGTTTAATTCGTAGATAGTCCCTGACTTGCATAATTTCGATGTTCCTAACCGAGTTCAACAAGTGGTATTAGAGCATTTGGTTTAATTTGTGCAAAGTCCAGGATTGTAAGGCTTATGTCAATTACGTGAGTGCGAGCACATCTATATTTGTGAAATATATTGCTTAACTCGATTTTGCAGGAGTATGTATTTTGTGAAATTTTTTTGCAGGAGTATGTATTTTCACTTTTATGGCCTTAAATGTGTGCTTATATAAATTGTTGCACGCTTTTAAAGCCTCAGACACGAGGAGTTTTGGGTTGTGAATGCTTGTAATAATTATTCGCCTGGTGGAACACCAGATAGACTTATTTGCTTTCTTAGACAAACATGTGAACTAATCTGTGGATTTAGGATCAAATTTATTGTAATTTTGTAGTTGATCGTGATTGACTGTGGACAAACCCAGACAACTATGATGACCGGAGACCTCGACAACCCGACTAGTTGTAGCTCGATGACGTTTGCCTTGCACGCAACCACGTGTGGCCATGCAAGGGTTATTGGCCAGTTGCGGGCTAATCATAGGCATGCGGTTGTGGTGGCAATGCGCGAGTAAACCGATTAGAAGGAAGGCCCTCAGCAATGGGAGTGAGCACCGCGTACGGGTGCCATGTGTGGAACGATACTTGGTCACAGGTCCCAGTAGATGGATCCGAGAAGTGCGTCACACCCGGGTATTGTCGAGCGCGCGCAGCGGCCGGCCCCTGCCTCGCGCATGAGCGCAGTGAGAGTTGACGCGACACTCGACGATGCGTTAGCAAAAATTTGTGCAAGATGCTAGCACTACACACGACCATGTGATCGTTCGACTTCCCAGCGCGACAGTCTTGCGGGAGTGGCGCACATGCCCCGCCAATCTGGTAGCATACCAAGGCGGCTCACATGACGCGACCAGTGCCTATGGATTGCACAACACAGTGACGAAATACTGTTATCCTGACGATGGAATGCCGACGACTACCATATGTGACTCACTTAGACTCGACGACAAATTGGCTGAACTCAGTGGCAATAACCCGGCAATGGCGACGCCACGACGGGCGGGGTGATGTACGGTAGCAGGAAGCAACTCGAAAATTTTGGCAAATCCAGTTGACAAGAAGTCTACTGAAAGAACTTTCTAGGCTGATAAGATTAATACAGTTCCAATAGGACAATGCAATGTTATAATTCCTAATTTAGGTAGAATTCTGATTAATGATCATAA